TTTAGATCTTTCCTGCTTTCTCTCATGGGCATTTAGTGCTATAAATTTCCCTCTACACACTGCTTTAAATGTGTCCCGTAGATTCTGGTACCTTGTGTCTTTGTTCTCATTGGTTTCAAAGAACATCTTTATTTCTGCCTTCATTTCATTATTTACCCACTAGTCATTCAGGAGTAGGTTGTTTAGTTTCCATGTGGTTGTGCAATTTTGAGTGAGTTTCTTAATCCTGAGTTCTAATTTGATTGCACTGTGGTCTGAGAGACAGTTTGTTGTGATTTCTGTTCTTCTACATTTGCTGAGGAGTGTTCTACTACCAATTATGTGTTCAATTTTGGAATAAGTGCAATGTGGTGCTGAGAAGAATGTATATTCTGTTGACTTGGGGTGGAGAGTTCTGTAGATGTCTATTAGGTCTGCTTGATGCAGAGCTGAGTTCAAGTCCTGGATATCCTTGTTATCTTTCTGTCTTGTTGATCTGTCTAATATTGACAATGGGGTGTTATAGTCCTCCCATTATTATTGTGTGGGAGTCTAAGTATCTTTGTAAGTCTCTAAGGACTTACTTTACAAATCTGGGTGCTTCTGTATTGGGTGCATATATATTTAGGATAGTTTGTTCTTCTTGTTGAATTGATGCCTTTACCATTACGTAATGGCCTTCTTTGTCTCTTTTGATCTTTGTTGGTTTAAAGTCTGTTTTTTCAGAGACTAGGATTGCAAACCCCCCCCCCTTTTTTTTTTTTTTGCTTTCCATTTGCTTGGTAGATCTTCCTCCATCCCTTTATTTTGAGCCTATATGTGTCTCTGCACGTGAGATGGGTCTCCTGAATACAGCACCCTGATGGGTTTTGATTCTTTATCCAATTTGCCAGTCTCTGTATCTTAATTGGGGCATTTAGCTCATTTACATTTAAGGTTAATATTGTTATGTTTGAATTTGATCCTGTCATTATGATGTTAGCTGGTTATTTTGCCTGTTAATTGATGCAGTTTCTTCATAGCGTTGATGGTGTTTACAATTTGGCATGTTTTTGCAGTGGCTGGTACCAGTTGTTCCTTTCCATGTTTAGTGCTTCCTTCAGGAGCTCTTGTAAGGCAGGCTTGGTGGTGACAAAATCTCTCAGTATTTGCTTGTCTGTAAAATATTTTATTTCTCCTTCACTTATGAAGCTTAGTTTGGCTGGATATGAAATTCTGGGTAGAAAATTCTTTTGTTTAAGAATGTTGAATATTGGCCCCCACTCTCTTCTGGCTTGTAGGGTTTCTGCCGAGAGATCCACTGTTAGTCTGATGGGCTTCCCTTTGTGGGTAACCTGACCTTTCTCTCTGGCTGCCCTTAACATTTTTCCCTTAATTTCAACCTTGGTGAATCTGACCAAGTGTCTTGGGGTTGCTCTTCTCGAGGAGTATCTTTGTGGTGTTCTCTGTATTTCCTGAATTTGAATGTTGGCCTGCCTTGCTAGGGTGGGGAAGTTCTCCTGGATAGTATACTGGAGAGTATTTCTAACTTGGTTCCATCCTCCCCATCACTTTCAGGTACACCAATCAAACATAACTTTGGTCTTTTCACATATTCCCATATTTCTTGGAGACTTTGTTCGTTTCTTTTCACTCTTTTTTCTCTAATTTTGTCTTCTTGCTTTATTAATTTGATCTTCAATCACTAATATCCTTTCTTCCACTTGATCGAATTGGCTATTGAAGCTTGTGCATGCATCACAAAGTTCTTGTGCTGTGGTTTTCACCTCCATCAGGTCATTTAGGGTCTTCTCTACACTGTTTATTCTAGTTAGTCATTCATCTAACCTTTTATCAAGGTTTTTAGCTTCCTTGCCACGGGTTTGAACATCCTCCTTTAGCTAGGAGAAGTTTGTTATTACCAACCTTCTAAAGGCTACTTCTGTCAACTCGTCAAACTCATTCTCTGTCCAGTTTTGTCCATTGCTGTTAAGGAACTGCAATCCTTTGGAGGAGAAGAGATGCTCTGGTTTTTGGAATTTTCAGCTTTTCTGCTCTGGTTTCTCCCCATCTTTGTGGTTTATTCTACCTTTGGTCTTTGATGTTGGAGACCTACAGATGGGGTTTTGATGTGGATGTCCTTTTTGTTGATGTTCATGCTATTCTTATCTGTTTGTTAGTTTTCCTTCTAACAGTCAGGCCCCTCAGCAGCAGATCTGTTGGAGTTTGCTGGAGGTCCACTCCAGACCCTCAGCCTTCCCCAGCGGAGGCTGCAGAACAGCAAATGTTGCAGAACATCAAATATTGCTTCCTGCTCCTACCTCTGGAAGCTTCATCCCAGAGGGGCACCCACCTGTATGAGGTGTCTGTCAGCCCCTTTTGGGACATGTCTCCTAGACAGGCTACATGTGGGTCAGGGGCCCACTTGAGGAGGCAGTCTGTCTGTTCTCAGAGCTGGAATGCCACGCTGGGAGAAACACTGCTCTCTTCAGAGCTGTCAGACAGGGATGTTTAAGTCTGCAGACATCGTCAGCTGCCTTTTCTTCAGCTATGCCTTGCCCACAGAGGTGGATCCTTGAGAAGCAGTAGGCATTGCTGAGCTGCGGTGGGATCCGCACAGTTCAAGCTTCCTGGCCACTTTGTTTACTACTCAAGCCTCAGCAATGGCAGATGCCCCTCCTCCCACTAGGCTGCAGCCTCACAGGTTGATCTCAGACTGCTGCGCTAGCAGTGAGCAAGGCTCCGTGGGCATGGGACCCACCAAGCCAGGCACAGGAGGGAACCTACTGGTCTGTCAGTTGCTAAGACCATGGGGAAAAGCACAGTATTTGGGCGGGAGTGTACTGTTCCTCCAGGTACAGTCTGTCATGGCTTCCCTTGGCTAGAAAAGGGAAATTCCCCAAACTCTTGCGTTTCCTGGGTAAGGTGATGCCCACCCTGCTTCAGCTCACCCTCTGTGGGTTGCACCCACTGTCCAACCAGTCCCAGTGAGATAAACCAGGTACCTCAGTTGGAAATGCAGAAATCACCCATCTTCTGCACCGATCTCCCTGGGAGCCGCAGACAAGAGCTGTTCCTATTTGGCCATCTTGGAAGCGACCATCCTTTTTTTTTTTTTTTTTTTTTTGAGATGGAGTCTCACTCTGTCACCAGGCTGAAGTGCAATGGTGTGATCTCATCTCACTGCCCATGCTGTACTCTTAAGAAGGAAGTTCCTGTTCACAACCCACACTGAAGGGTGGGGAGTGATGACCCTCCTCCTGAGAATGGAATATTTATATAAATTATTTTGAATTATTCTGCACAGGATAGTTTGCTATTCTGCTCTGTTCAGTTACTTGTCGATATCGTTTTCATATCAGTATGGACCCGTGGATGTTCATTGTATACTTTGGGTTATAATCCAGTGCTACATGGTTTGTTTTCTTGCTTTCATTGTTCCCTACTTGGCTATTCTGAGCCCTTCAGTTGACTCCTGTGTCTCTTGACATATGCTGTGTGTGTGTGTGTGTTTGTGTGTGTGCGTGTGTTGAGCACTCCCTTGCTTTCTGGCAACAATGTGCACCTTGGATATTTCCTGCCCCAGTCCTAGCATCAGCCATTTATCCAAGGTGCCCTGCTGCCTTTTATGGAAGAATGGCCTTAGAAACCAAGATCTGCACACTAGGTTCACACGGCTGCTGGATGGCCACTGCCCCTAGTCTCATCCTCTTCTCAGCTGACATGGAAGAGAATGCGTGTCTGCACTCTAATTCAATTACATGCGTGTATCTATAAACTCAGACGATTCTGCAGGCCTGTTAAAAGTAGAAATGTATGGAGCACTTGGGTGTCAGAATACAGGGAGCCTTGGTACCTGTGGTCAACTACAACACACTCATCTTTCACGTGTAGTGTTAATTGCTTCGTTTTTTATTTTTATCTTCTCCAGAATATAATATTGAATTGTTCATTCATCTTCCTACTTATTTTGTATTTCCATTTTCCACATTTACTCCCTAAGCCATTTAAAGTATGTTTTCTAAAGAAACAGCAGTGCCACCCACACCAGAAATAGAAACCTGAAAATGTGATCATTAGTAGCAGTGACAACAGTGTCCACGTGGTAAAGCACAGAGACTAAGCACATGCTTCTTGTTATTAACCCTTCAGCATGTCTGTTCCTTTTTGCATGTTCTTAAAGATCTAATTTTATGGTTTGGGAATCTCTAAAAACTCACAGATGCTAGAAACACCTTTAAGCTAAACTCGGTTTTCTTGAGAGGTTCTCTGAGAAGTCAAAATTTTTAAAAAATATTTACTTGTCATGAAATATTCACCTAAAGTAGTAAAATAAGACATGTACTAGACTACTCATTTCTTAATGCCAGAAATCAAGTCTTATTAAAACTTCTATCTCTATTATTCAACCTAATACACCAGATACAGCCAACACTCATACCTCTTCATAGAACAAATTGGATAAATGATGAAGAATGGACAAATTAGCCCTGTGTCATTTTCACAAGTAATTGGAACTCAGTAGGTACCCATTACACTGATGACTGAATAAACATGCACTATAAAATATTTACATTAATATGCAAAATATCCTGTAGGGCTTACAGAAGGGATTAATATATTTAGCTATATAAGAAATATGTTAAATTGTTCTTATATGAAAATTTTTGTACGATTCTATTTGTGTTTGTATCAACTTAAGATTTAAATAAAATAGTATAAGAAATATCTACATATTTATGGAAATTTTCCTAGTACATTGCCATTACTTGGTTTTTCTTCCTCTTAGAGAATAAGGGCAAAGTTATATTAATGTTTATTTTCAAGCAAGAAATATGTTTTGGCTTCATGTGTATCATGAACCAAGAATAACTCTGTACTTATCACGATGACTCAGTCCAAAGAATGTTCTGATTTATTCAATTTTTCTCCCTAAATAAGTTAGAGTAGTTCATTCAGGAGCAATTAGAGTCTCACTTTTTAAATTGGATCTTAGGAGGACATAAGACAATAAGAGAGAAGCATTTTTCTTCTGGTCTTACCTTCAGGAGACAGAAAGCTGTATGGCCTAGGAGAGGAAGGCATGGAGTCAGGGTCCTGGTCCCAGATCAGAGCGGCAACTTGCACATTGTGCTTAACCAAGAGGAATAAGCCTGACAGCTGAAAGGGGGACGCAGCAGCAGTCATGTTCCTGTCCAAGAAATTGATGTTACTGATTATCAATGGAGTTATTGATGTTCAATTTGTTTTTACAACACTTTCCCCAAGCATGCCCGGATTCTGAGAATCTCCAACCCAGGAATGGGAGAAGGGGTGTGTTAGGGACATAAGTGATTGGCTTCACTTCAAGCCCCTTTGTCCCTTATACCTCTCTACTACTCCAATAAATGCAATGAATTTTACAGTCCTTTTTCCTCTGGGTCTCTCCACCCCTCTCCATTCCTTCTGCTCTCATCTCTCCCTGGACTCCTGTTGAATCCCTCTGGGCTTTCCACACCCACTCTAACCTTTCCTGATGCCTTCTTCACACTTCATGCAGAATGATTTTTTAAAATTTTTATGCAAATCTAGTTGCATTATTTCTCTGCTCCAGACATTTCACTGGGTTCATGTCATGCTTAGAATGATGGTAAAAATCCTTAGCAGGTCTTGTAAGCTTCCAGCAGTCTGCTGCTTCTCCCTGATTCTTCAGTTGTTTCCAACCTGTCCTCCTTCCTGGATTTTCTTGGCATTCAAAGCTGGCCTTCTTTACATCCATCTAACAGAACATCTCTGTTTCTTCTTTGGAGATTTCAACATGCTCCATTCCTCCAAATCTATTCCCAACCCCAGGTTAACTAATATTCATAATAATACATTAAGGTGGTCTTCCTTGAGCACTCAATCAGGATATGTCTCAGTGTTGTGCATCTTAATAACACTTGGAATGTTCCTCCATAGCCTGTTTCTGTTAACAGCTATTTATTGATGTGATTGCTTGTCTAATGCTTCTCATTCTCTTATTATAGAAGGACCCTGTATTTATCAGTTCTCACACTGCTATAAAGGAGACTGGATAATTTATAAAGAAATGAGGTTGAATTGATTCACGATTCTGCAGGCTACACAAAAAGCATGGCAGCACATGTTTGGTTTCTGGGGAGGCCTCTGGAATCTTACAATCATGACTAAAGGCAAAGGGGCAGCCAACACTTTACATGGCTGGAGCAGGAGGAAGAGAGAGCAGGGAGTGCTACACACTTTTACACAACCAGATCCGATGAAAACTCACCATCACAAGAACAGCACTGAGGAGAAGGTGCTAAACCATTTACGAAGCAACCACCCCCACGATCCAATCACCTCCTACCAGGCCCCACCCCAAATACTGAGAATTATATTTTGACATGAGATTTGGGTGGGGACACAGCTCCAAACCATATCAGACCTAAGGTCCTGACGCACCTCTGGTTCTCACACAGCATCCCAGTCTCCACCAGAGCAATGGGCATCTTGAAGACATTCAGTGACTATTTGTTGAATGACAGAAGGAAATGAATACTTTCCCAAGCTTAATTGTCCAGATGAAAGTGTTCTTTTCCATCAGATATTGTAGATGTGGAAGGAAGGATCAGAATGGACTATGATGAATTACGCAAGCCAGTGCGTCATTCACCCAGTAATAGTGTCCAAGAACAATAAGCATCCAAATATGACTTGAGGCACCCTCGTGGAGCCTGTGGGTTCTTCTGATGCAAAATGTGGTCTTTTCTTTCTGTTTTTAGGGGAAAATGCTTCATGATTCCAAGAACTTTCAATTGTATATTTGATAAAGTCTTCATCCTAGTTAAGTACTAATATTTAGGATTCATAATATTTGCCATTTATAGTTGCAATGACTGCTTTAGCAGGATTTACTGAAATGTCTTGCTAAGTACTTTTCTAAGAAATCTGGCTGCTATGCAACTCTTGGAAATATTGTCAAACTCACACTGTGCATCTACATAGACAGTTGGTATCCCCCAACTGTGTTTTCCAAGTAGGCTTTCTAAAAATCAGTTTATTATCACTGTTGTCATAAGGTGGTCAAGGAATTTTCAGTTGTTGTTACTCTTGCTTTTTAAACATTTTGATTCAAAACTAAATGAGTGTTTTGACTTCTAACATAATATACATGTCGCTGTTTGCATTACACACAGTCCTGCACTATTCAATTGCCAAAGCAGAAGGAAAATCATCCAAATATCCTTTGTATTTATTTATCAAGTGAGAATTCACTATTGTCACTAATTTATGTTCCATTTTTAGAATGGATAAGCTGGGGTTGGTGGTCCTTAGTGTTTCCTATCCTGCTTTCAATGCAAATCATCTAAAGAAATAACGCTTGAAAACCACAACTCCTGCTTATCTTTGAGAGGTATTGCTTTCAGAATTATTTAAGGTCTGGCCACCGAGTCATCACTAAATCAGCATAACAGATAAACTAATCACATAGACAACATCTGCAGAATTCAATAAGCATGTTGGTGCCTACATTGTCTGTTGCTGTGCAAAGAAGTAGCTAGGGATGAGATCTTGCTCTCTGGAGAAAAGAAAGTAAGAAGGGAAGAAAACAACACACCATTGAAATGCTGGATCTTATGTACCAAGGAATGTTTGCTATGGTTGGGTCTGGGGTGCTGGTGGGTTATTATGAAGCTTGGAGTTGGCCACAGAACAGCATTCAAGAGAGAAGACCACATACGTGTGTGTCTGCATTTGAATGGGAACTATTAAACTTGCCTGAATCCAAAAGAGGCAATATTCTGGAACATAATTTAAAGCCAATTAATAACAGTAGCAGAAAACCACAATTGTGACTAGATGCTTGCTGAAAACCAGTTGTTCAGCAACCTCGGGCTGTATATGAAGAAAGAACACATGAACAATTATTTCAGAATTTCAAAACTGCCAGGGCTGGGAACATGGGCTCAGTGGAACTCAGGAGCAGGAGCTGCAGCCGTGAGGATAGACTGTCCTCGGCTTTGGTTCCCCTTGGCCCTGACCTTGATGGCGTGGGCATCCGGCACAACTGAGGCCTTCATTCCATTGTGAAGTACAAGCACCTGGCCAGGAACTGGAGATTCTGAAGGGAGGTAACAGGGAAGTTGGGCAGTTTGAGGTTGACCAGCAGAAAAGCAACAAAGTCTGTGGGCTCCAGAGAGCTGCTGCACCACTTCCACCCTCCACCTCTTCTGGAAGAGTTGCTCTCACCCACAGGAAAGGCAGCACTGGGAATTCCCTAGCTCAGCCAAGTGGACACATTACGTAGGCCCACACCAAGGAAGGGAAGACTGGAAACCCTCTCCATGTCTGCATGTTGTGGGGCTGCATGGCCCTTCCACCTGGGGACCCGGCCATGCCTCAGTCAGTGGGTCTAGATCTGTAAGCTGACCCAGACCCAGAAACGATGCAATAATGGGTGAGTTTTTGTGGGAGTGACAACCCCACTCTCCCATCATCCATCTTTCCCATCTGTTTTTTAGAGATTCGGTGCCCGTGCCCCCTCCCCGCCCACTGTCTCCATCTCTCTGTGCAGGGAAAGGCATCTGGGCTCCACTGTGACCTGCCCCTGCTCACCTGCCCAGCCTCCTGTGGCCAGGGTCCTGTCCTCCCCACTGCCACTAGCAAATCTCATCCCATAACAGTCTCTGCTATCGGCGGCCCTGCTTGACAGAGGAGGGCCACTGCTGGAAAGCTTAGAGACGGGTGCCCATTGCACCAGCACATCTCCTGGCTGTGAAGTGGCATCCCCTCCATCCTTCCACATGCACATCACTCAGTGGACCACGCAGCCACTTACACCATGATCACTGGAGCACACCCGCATCCCTCCACCGCTGACCACAGAAACAGTGGTATTTCAATTTCACACAGCATGGAGCATCGCCTTTTCTGAACCTTGAGCTGCCATCCTAGCAGCAAATCTGCCTCCTGGGTTCTTGCCAGAGGGTTATGTTCTGTATCTCATGACTGCAGGGACGAGCATCTCTAAACAATCCTGAACCTCCCGACCTTTCGATCATGCGCTCCAAAAACCAGAGCCACTCACCTTCCCCATCTCAAGTTGGATATTCTGGCTGCATCGTGTGCCTTTGGGATGCTCCTGCACCTCCTTTTCCTTCTTTATCAGGCCCCCCATATTTCTGCTGGATATGTGACATTATCCTCATCAGCCTAGTGGCCAAGAGAAGTGAAGGCTGGACCTGAGGAAGATGCATGGCTCATTGTAGCGAGAGGTGCCACGGTGTCTCCAGGCAAGATACAAGCATCGTTCCTTCTCGGGAAGGGCATCTCCTTTCTCCAGGCTTCAGGGGTTCCTAAGAGTCAGGGGGGGTTCACAATTTTCAGGGGCATCTCAGTCACCATACATGGGCATATTGGGCATACAAACCTGCACATACACACAAGTACACACATATATGTACACACACATCTCCACATACGTAGACACATATGTGAGTAGACATTTATTATTCTACATATTTGCAATTACTAAGTAATCTACATAATGTATGATCTTAAGCATAAACCTTATAAATTGTAGTTTATTTGATTCTCTGGGCAGTTTGTCTTCTTAATAGAGTAGATTTACATCAGAAAAGTATTCTGAATCAGAAAAGGTAAAAACTACTTTCTGGCTACGTTTCTGCCTTAGGAATCAAGGCAGAAGGTGAAGGGGAAACAGGCACGGCTGTCACACATCCTAAGTTTCCTACAGTCTCCCCAGTCATGCCTCCTTTACAGCCTGTGGAACTGTGAGTCAATTAAACCTCTTTCTTCATAAATCATCCAGTCTCAGGTATGTCTTTATAGCAGTGTGAGATCAGACTAATACAATCTCCAAGTAGTAATAAAAGCCTAGTTTTAAAAAATAGAGTGCAGGACACAGAAAAGACAGCCAGTGGGACCCAGAGGAGTGACATGAGCCAGACCCGGGCATGCCATGCACCACAGGTGCTCTCACTGAGAAAGGACTGGCAATTTGTGTTTGATCTCCTGGTATATAATGTTCAGTCTCTGGTGCACGCTGAAGGTAACTGCAGGTTGACAGGGCGTAGGGTTTCCTCATGAAGGTGGCTCATTCTCACCTAATGCTCTACTTGCCTGCAGTTAAAGGATCCATCTAAATATTTTCATGGATAGACATGACTTTAACAGTTGTGTCCAGTAATAAGGGTAGAGCCTTATTTTAAAGCTTATCTCATTTTAATGTGGACTTTAACAAGAATTCTGTTCAGAGGCCGAGTGAGGTCCCAGGAACCTGGTTTCCACTTGCCTGGTTTCCACTTCTAGTCCCAAGGATTTCAGATGCATTGTGAGTGAATGTTCTTCTCATCATTCCCACTAATACTTTTATAAACAACTCTTTAGGAAAAAAATCCAACTGTGAATTGGCACCCGGGTCACTGTTATTTATTGGGGGGACCAGCCCCCAATATTTCAATGTAGGTTATTTTCTATTTTCCCTAAGTGTCGGCCAGTCTGAGCAATAAAGAGAAAGAGTACAAAAGAGAGAAATTTTACAGCTGGGCCTCCGGGGGTGACATCACCTATTGGTAGGTTCCATGATGCCCTCTGAGCCACAAAACCAGCAAGTTTTTATTAGGGATTTCAAAAGGGGAGTGGGGTACAAACAGGGAGTAAGTTACAAAGATCACATGCTTCAAAGGGCAATAAAAGATCACAAGGGCAGAAGGGCAGAGCAAGATCATAAGGCCAGGGTGAAATTAGAATTACTGATGAGGTTGTATGTCCCGCTGGGTACATATTGTCTTGATAAGTATCTTAACAGGAAACAGGGTTTGAGAGCAGACAACCAGTCTGACTACAATTCACCAGGCTGGAATTTCCCAATCCTGGTAAGCCTAAGGGCACTGCAGGAAACGAGGGCGTATTTCATCCCTTATCTTCAACCACATATGACAGACACTTCCAGAGCGGTCGTTGATAGGCCTAGCCCTGGGAATGCATTACTTCCCCAGGGTTATTCTTTGCTGGGAAAAGAATTCAGCAATATTTCTGTTATTTGCTTTCTGCAAGAAGAAATATGACTCTGTTCTGCCCAGCTCTGCAGGCAGTCAGACCTTATGGTTATCTCCCTTGTTCCCTGAAAATCGCTGTTATCCTCTTCTTTTTCAATATGCCCAGATTTCATATCGTTCAAACACACATTTTACAAACAATTTGTACAGTTAAAGCAATCATCACAGGGTCCTGAGACGACATACATCCTCAGCTTATGAAGATGATGGGATTAAGAGATTAAAGACAGGTGTAGGAAATTATAAGACTATTGATTGGGGAAGTGATAAATGTCCATGAAATCTT